ATATTCAAGAAATAAAAATAAAACCTATTTTAAAGCTTACATTTATTTGTTAATAAACTGTATAAAAAGTTGTCTCCTGTTCAGTTTACTTTGTAACTAGTTGTGTATATTTTTTATGTCTGTAAGTACAGCTTTGCAGAACTGTTTGTCTATTTGTTCGGCTCTGTTCCTTTCTTCGTTCAGCGCTGTCCTTGCCACTTGTTTGACTTACAGCAGTCTATCTGGTGGGTGGCAGTTTTTATGAGTCATATTTATGCCTTGGTTGCTGGCAAACGATGGGCAAATTGTACTGCTAAGGTTGACGGTGCCAGAAGTTTGCAAGTTTTGCAATTTGCATGTCAGTCTGGCGAAAGACTTTTGAGTGCCATTATTAATCAGCTGCCTGTTGCTTCACTGGCGCGAAATTTGGAGCCCTTTCAATGGAGTCCTTTGACAAGCGAATTGCATTTGCCAGTGAACCCTCAAACGCATTAATCAGCGACGCGAATTCACGACGCTCGTTTGATGGTAACAAATCTTGCGCAAATTTACGCAAACATTGGCGTCTGCCAGTTTCAGCTTCTCCGATCCGGGGGTTGCCCCTTTTTTTTTTGGCTACCGAGTGGCTGCAATCTGGATGCAGCTGTTCATTATGTGCCCCAGTTGCCTCTGTTGCGGCACACAAATCTCCCTAAAGTAATTTACTGGAAACTGCGCAAAGTGCACTTTGCTATTTTTCAAATCGCCAAAGCCAGGCGACAGACGCACCTCCGTCCGATCCGTCGGGCTTCACTGACTTCTGGCTTGAAGTTGAAATTGAAATTGAATTGCGATTGATATTGATTGGCTGCGTGCTTGAGCGACAACTCGGCCAAATCATGTGCAACCAAGCAGGGATTTCCCCAGCCAGTCACTCTCTGCACCGTGTTGTAACTTTCGCTTATTGTTATTTTTCTCCCAACTCTGCCAAAAATACAAATATACGTATGATGTATACACTCCTATACAGCTCTGAGCTGGGCTCCTTCTCCAGGCTTTAGTTTCCATTTCCAGCTTGAAATCGAATTTGGAGTCCCTCAGCTGAAAGCAGCAGTCTGTTGCGCCAGGATATTCGACTATAAGTTGTGTATTGTTTAGTCAAGTGCAGCTGCTCGTGCAGCTTGTTTATGTCCTGTGCAAATAGGGTTCGGATGGAGCTACGAGTGGGCCATTTAAAGTGGAAGTTACAAGCTAGTTTTTCACAATTTAATATTTGAAAAATGAACAATCCAGGAAACAAGTCCTAATAAGGTTAGTGCCTCTACTGTGGTTTATTCTTCCGACATATAAAAAACATGCAGATGCCATAACTCATAAATAATATATATCTTTTGTTAAAATATTTACAAACTTGAGCGGATTACTTAATTGCCCCCGAGCCTCAAAGTTTCAAGGACCTTGGCTAAAGTTTACATTAATTAAACGGAGAGAATCAGACCAGTTACACTGTGGCAGGATGCCTGCGGAAGCAATCAAACAAACGCAGTAACAAGAACTCCATTAGGATGCATACAAAAGCACTCCAGGACATCGGGGAACCACAGAAGGTGGCCGGGTAAACAGGTGCCATCCGTGGATGAGGCTAAGGCTGAGGACGAGGAGCAGCACTTGCTGCCACAATAAGAGTACACAAAGTGGTAAATGCAGGAGGCAAGCCAACAATGGTAGTTCCTGGCTGCACCGGCAATGCCATGGCGGAAATCCTGCCATGGCGACACTAAAAATATTTTCTACCAAATTTACAATATGAAGTGGCTTGCCGGAGCTCCTGCCAAAGGTGCTTGCCTCTATATCTATAAAATATAGTTTAGTTAGTGTGTGACGCATAAACAAGCACACAACACACAGATACACGACTACATATGTATTGAGAATGTTGCACTTCATTGCGTTGACAGAAACAAACTTAGTCCAGAGTGAGAAGCACAGATGGAGCTGCAGCCCGGATCCTGCAGCTTCTCCTCCATATCCTGGCGGTCCTTTTCGAACTCCAGCTGTTGCTGCCGATGCTGAGTGCATTTTGAACATAATTTTCAATTTTCATGCATGTTTTGCCATTTGCTGAAGGAGTGCGAAATTGTTTCTCTCTTGCTGCTCTACACGTGACAGTTTTTGATTTGCTTAATGGTCGCAACGGGACCAAAGCTGGTCCGAGTAAATGGAAATTTTATTCAGATAGCTCTTAGTTTAAAATCTGTGCAGCAGGATTAAAGCACCATTGGCAACACGTTTCAAACACTAAAGTGGTTATATTTTTAGAACACTTTCATGGGTAGAATACGTGGAATATTTAATATCTTTAAACTTTAAACTTTCCCCTTTTAACTATTTAATTTAATTTTGTTTCCCATAAACGGCGCTATCAGATAATAGCTGTTTGCTATTTAATTGGTGTTTATTGGCGAAAATATTTGTGTAATTTTGTTAATTCAATTTCCCCTAATGGTTTAAGTGCCAGGAATGACTGTGTGGGTTTGAAAATCATATAATTTTATATGCGCTTTGAGGCAAAGGATAAAGGCTATTTAAAACTGAAATCCACATACTCGCACTCTGGTCCTTTGGTTAAAGTTGTAGTCCAAAAACAACACAACAATGGACCTGTTTTCCGGCTTTCACTATAAAACGACTTCGTTCCGCAGGCAGCATAATTAATTGCGGTAATTAGTGTGTTGGCAACAAACAGCAAACACACGAAAAACATTCAACAACAGCAGCAGCAGCAACAAGAACCAGGCAGTACCCGCAAGTGTAACGGCCAGAAAAGTGGGTGGAAAATGTGCCAGGAAAGTGCACAGGGAAAATTAGTTTGGAGGGTTATTAGTTCACTAAAACTATGAAAATCGTTAAGGATTCAAAGTATTTTAATGAATCATTACATAATACATCATTATTCCATTTACCATGGAAAGGTGAACGAGTAATATTATTTCTAAAAATTTAATTTCAAACACTGTGTTTCTGTGTGTAAAATTCTCATATACTTTATAGAAGATTTGTGTGCCCGATTCTGGCATATTAGTTAGTTTGTGGAGCAAGTTTTATTTACGACTCTATCTGGGAGACTGAAAAGTGGGCGGCATATGCCGCAACGCGATGACTGCTGACTCCTGACTCCTGAAAGGCCCACGGCGTTAATTTGGCTGTGCCGACCCGCCATTTCTGTGGCATCATTAGAAAGAGTAAAATGATTTTTATTGCTAGGCAAACAGAAGAGGCAGAGACAAATACGTCAGACGGAATCACGGTAGCTAATAAGGAGGGCTTGGCCAGAGCCACAGCAAAAAGGAGTGCCAAGGATATGGCCTAAGGGACTGTTGCTTCAGCTTGTCGGGATAAGAAGACCCGGACTCTGGTCTCCTTTCTCCATTCTCGAAACTAAAACAAGCTCTCGAACTCAGAGACTTCTTGCTGTTCACTTTAATTGGTCACTTGGCGCGCACAGAAGAACAATTTAATTTTCGCCATTTTCTTATTATCTCGATTTTACACTCCCAGCGCTTTTTGAAAGTCTTCTTCGGGCGGCAGCCCGTTTATGTAATTAAGCGTAGCATACTTTTCTGCTCTGGGGGCCCAGGGGCCATGGGACTAGGGGGTGTGGCAGCGTCTGTTGTGTGTTATTACCACCGCAGTCATTAAATCTTTTGTACGTAATTAAAAAATTACAATTTAATGCTTGGCGCTCATTTATTGACAAGGGGCACATGGTAGTGTGTGCGCAAAACACGTATCCGCCCGGTGGCCAAGCGGAAAATGGAGGAAAATCATGGCAGGAAGTGGTGAACATACGAGGGGCACATTAAGAGGTGTAGATGGAACTCTTAATGGCGGAAGTCAGCCTGATTATAAACGTGTTAAGTGTGTATTTATGGCAACGTAAATGCTCTTAAATCTGTGAATTACAATCGATTGTTGAGTTTAATTGCTAATGGAAACAGAAAGATCCTGTCCATGATGGGGTTTCAATAAAATTAGGTCTTCACTTTTCAAAGGCTAATTTTTGGAATAACTCAGCTGTAAAAGACTTTACACACAAAAATCCTTTGGCTGTCAAAAAAATACTCTTTCAAATTTAATGCTGGGTGCAATGTGAGCTGCGGAAAACTCTGAATTCCGAAATGCTATCGATAAGCCGCACCAAACAAAAAAATTGCCAACCGACATGGAAATTGCATTGACCGAATGGACTCCAAGAGGCTTTCGTTGGCGGTAGGAGCAAATAAACCCGGGCCAATCGGCGAGTTCCTCTAAAAGCCCATTCGAAATCGGCCTGAAAAACTTTATGCCATTTTTTCTGCGGTTTTGTGTTTCAGCTGTCGGCTGACTTAAAGTGTTGACATTCGGACCTGCAGGCAAAATTCAGCTGCGGAACGGAGAGTCAAGCTTAAATAATTTTCTGCATGAAATTAGACAGTGGGCTCATTGTTTGAGCCTTTTCTATTTATCCAATGTCTATCGTAAACGTTCATTGTCCTCATTGTGATGCAGAGGGCAAATGTCAATGAGGATGTCGAGGCTGATGAGCGGCATCTATTGCTGTGCGTGTAGGCTGAAATATATATATAAATCGCTGTCGAGCAATAAAAGTCACCCAGCACAATATGGTGTCCATGGCCGCAGACGTAGTCCCATCCGCATCCGCATCTGCATCCAAAATCCGACATTTGGCATTCATCTGATTTATGCGGCTGTCACCAGACAGGACCTCTCCACCCTTTTTGGCCACAGGTCGCATATGCGGGCCGACCGATGACATGGCTGATTGACAAACCGCTGTTTGCCAAAATGAACAGAATGACATGCGGTCAACTGGCCTGGCAAAATCCAAATGTTCGCATTAGGCAACGCGTCACAAATCAAAAATGGCCTTTGTTTGACGAAATTGTCAAAGGTAAAGTAAGCACTCAATATTGACGCTGAACTTGATTGCATTCCACGAAAGCCAGATGCTGGTATTACAGAGGTAACAAAGAAAATTAAAGTTAAGTTTTTAATCAAAAATGTATGTATTTATAATAATAGGGTAGTTAATAAAATTGGTATATTCCTATAAAGGATTCTGTAAAGATTATAGATAAAGGGCAAAAATATCAATTTCTCTTCTTTTAAAGATAATTCCTGGAAAAATGACGAAAAATCGGCTTCATTCCCGTCACAATGTGTCTTCTCGATGGAACGTGGCTAGATCATAGCCCTCAAATCCTGACAAGTATATATACTTCATTTTATCTGTAGAAACTCCTAGTACTCTGGCCATGTATGATTTTCCCTCCATTCGTTTTGCTTCGTCGGGTATATCGGAGCCACCGCATTGCCGTTCCGGATGATGGAACTCAAAGGTGATGCCCATAGGGTACTTTTTGGGTGGAAGGGTGTTTCTCACGTCAATCACACAAAAGGTGAGAATCTGTTGGAAAACACCCAGCTTTCGAGCTTCCTCTATGCCACAATCGGTTACCAGAAAACAGCCCAACGAACATCCGGTGTCCATGTCCCGTATGTTCACGTGGTATATATTGTCGGCTCGCAAATAGATTGACATAAGCACATCTGTGAGGCACCGACTTCCTATTGCCTCGGCCAACTGGCAACGAAAGCTGTCCAGCAGCGGCAAGTGCAATCCCCGACAAAACTGGCAGGTGCTTGAGGGCTTCCTCACCAGCGTGGGGCAACAACATTCCTTTTTGTCCGCAATTGTCTGGCTTAGGCCGTGAATTTTTCCATTCAGGCAATCGATCAGTTGGCGAATTTCGCACAGGTCCTGATTCTGTACCACATCGAATTTCTGTTTCAGGTCGCACAACTGCTGTGATAAGTCCGATATGGCCGGCATGTTGGCCTTTAGGCAGTCCAACTGATGGCGGATGTCGCTCAACTGCTCGCACTGCAGATGCTCCACCTTGCCTTTTAGTTCGCAAAGTTCCTTGGATATTTCACTCATTGAAGGGCAAGTGGTACAAGGTTCTGGAGGGCAACAGGGCGGTGGTGGACGGCTAGGCGGTGTCTTGCTGTCTTTGGCATCCTTGGACGAAGAACGATCCTTTTGTTCCTTTTTTTTGCTTTGAACATTTTCAGAAGATTTACCTCTTCGCAATAATGTCGGGGACCTACTCGGAGATCTGGACTCTGGCCCTGAGGGAACAACAATTTTGGGTCTCCTACATGAACAGCTTGGTTCAGATTTCTTTGGTTTGACGGATCCTTTCGGCGATATACATAAAAAAGGAGAAAAAGCAGTGCAGGAATTACAAGCCGGAAAGGGGTCACTATCCTTGTTCCGAAAGGGAGGATAAAGGATGGGAATTTCATCCGCCAAAGGCTTCTTAAAGGACACAGTGCATTTGCGCTCTACGGTTTCACTGTCCGGAGGCTTAACCGGCTGTGGTTCCTGCTCCCTCTTCTTCTGGCACTCGCAACAAACGCACGGCTGACCCATCAAATCTGTTCCACCGCAACATCTTATGTAATACCTGCAAGATTCCCGACAGGACTTTTTATATTCTCTATAGGTATACGCCCCTGATAAAGAATACAATTTATATTGTAAATTTGTAAATTTTAAAGTCAATATAGTTACCCCTCATAGTGGAAAATAAGGCTTTAAGAAGAGGACAATTTTGGAAGCCTTTTTAATACCCTTTTTTGAAATTTTTATTATTTCACAACAAAATTTAGCTGAAAAGACTATACTACAAGGAAACAATTTTTACTAAGCCAACTAAAACGGCTGTGGAAGATTCAAATCAAACTTCAATAATGTAAACTACTTTGATAATATAAATTTTAAATCACCATTTATTCCACAAATGTTAAAAAGCAAACATGTTCCATTTTAATATACATATTTATTCTTATTTTGTTTCACATATATTTGGCACACGAAAACCACACAATATTTGATCTTTGGCTATGTTTTTCCCTAAAAAAGAAATATTTTATAGTACTTCCAATATATCTCTCAAATGTGATTTTGTGGTCGAATTGAATGCATTTTTTTATTTATAAATGTTATTGTTTATTTTAAGCCCTGGAAATATACACAAGAATATTTTTTGATTTTGTTTGTGGTTCATTAAAAGGATTAGATGTAAAGTTTCAAATGCTGTAGTTAAGCTCTTTATATGTTTGTTTATTGCTCCAGTTGATGTTATTGAGATTTAAATGGCAAATATTGGTAATTTAGTTTATAATTTTATAGTATTTTTTATGAAAGGTCTTTATAGTCTAGAGTAAGTTTGCCTGAAAGTGAATGTGGGTAGTTTATGTGTGGAATGCATATCTTAAATTTTTTTGAAAACATTGTAATTTTTGCTACATAACTCCTCAATATCCAAAGCTCAAGCTTAGCTAGAAATCATGAAAATACCCATTAAATATTTTACTAAAACAAACTCTTTGCACTTTCATATAAAGTTTGATTTGGGAAGCAGCAGTGTTTCCGCAATGAACTAAGTCCTGAAAAGTTTTAATCTAGAGTCGAGCCACTGTTTCTCTTTAACTGCTATGAGGATTTTCTTTATATATAAATATTTCTATACGCTTTTAAAATAAAATTTCATCTCCCAGTCGAAATTCAAACATTAAAAGCTAAAAATTAACACATCTAAGCTTAGTTTTAACTTCTTTTAAGGTTATATCCAAGGACTGAACATAAGTGTTAAATCAAAATCCTTAAGCAAATCAGACACGGCTTAAAGCTGTACAAAGCACATGGGGTGAGGGGTCTGCGATCCACTAAGTTATATCATCCGCCATTAGATAGAGATTCATCCAAACGACAGCCTCAGCAAGGAGCCAAAGGTAAGCATCATTAGCAGGGCAGTAGGCTGGACTATTTCCGAGGCGGATCGCGGCTCTAAGGAGAGGGTCTTGTACTTCTCCACCTTGGTAAAGTCACTGAATCCCGCCAGATTTCTGGAGGCAGCTCTCATCAGGTAGACTGTGTCTGGCTCCAGATTCGTTATAAGGAAAGTTGCTCCTGCAAAGAAATCAGTTAGATAAAGTTTTTATGAGAGGATTGAGAGCTCTTACCCTCTTCGAATGGAAAATCTTTGCGCTTAGCGTTGGTCCACTTGCCGGCATCGGACTTAAACTCCAATTCGGACATGTACTCGATGCGAAAGCCGTTGACCTCCATGGGTCCTCGCACTTCTTGCCCCCGTGGTGCACTCACATCTACGTCAAAGGTGTTGGAGTTAAATCCACGCAGCTGGAAGGTGACCGGCGAGGGAGGCTTTTCGCCCTGTTCCAGTCGCTTAGTCCGCTCGATGCTGCCCAGGTGATTGGCGGCTCGGCACCTGTAGTTGTCAAAGACGCTGGCATTCACTACGTGGACGGTCAGACGAGACCAGTAGCTGTCCGTTTCAATGGTGTACAGCTTCTCGTTGCTGTGCAGGCGCTTTTGTTTCCGGTGCCAGGTGAAAGTGGCAGGTGGTTCGGCTTGGGCCTCACACATTATGGTGGCGGTGCCGTTGATGTAGGCATACTGCAGGCTAACAAACTGTTTGTGCGTCCAGAATGGTTTGTCTATAAAAAAAACATGGGAAATTAATTTTTAAATGGTAAAAAAAGACATCCCTACGATGGGAAAATAATTTTTTTTCAATAAATGGATGTTGCAATGATTTTGCATCTTCCAGGTGTCGGGTTTAAAAATGTGCACCACGAAAATGGAAAAACCATGTACGTTAACCATAAATCAGAGCTTGGCCAGGTTAAGCCATTAGCTGCCATGTGTGCCACGCCCACTAGCCACACGTCAGCCCGCATCAGGACTCATCAAAAGCGGCTCACATGCGAACGTAATTTCAGAGTTCCCTGTTCAAAAACTATTTACCGTCCAGTGCGCAGCATACTAAGCGCCAAACACGAATTTAGAACCAACATTGAAAAAAAAGGCAAATTGTGCTCAAGTAATTTTAGGTGTCCTTTGGAAAAAAAGGACAGTGGGATAGGGCTTACCATTTTGTTGATTACTTTTTCAAACTTTATACTACAAGGACTACAAAATAGAAAACATAGATGGCCCTCAAACTAAGCTTTTATTTTGTTTCAATTTTCTAGAGTTTATGACTTTGAGGACAAGATCTCTATTCTATTTTAGATTAGATTTGAATCCCAACAATTGATTAAATAATTCAAGCCTTTTTTAAATTACTTCCAAAACAAATAGCATTGACACAGTGACAGTGTATGTTTTTAAATCGTAAATCACACTCACGTTCGATTTTCATCAAAACGGTTCGCTCCTGCATATCAGAAGCAATCGAGTTGACTTGGTATGCCCGGCACGCGTACTCGCCGGTGTCACTCTGTGTTACCTTGTTGATGAGCAAACCATCGGCCAGGATGCGGAACTTGGAGCCATCTGCCGCTGCACATGGAATGAAAAAAGAGAGCAATGATTCGAGTTTCAGTAATGGCAGCCGGTTGGTAGTTTGGGTAAAATGCAAAGCTCATTATCGGCACTGGGCTTACCGTGCCAGTGCCCAGTGCGCCGGCATCACCACAATCACTCACCTTCCGCACTGATGGGCTGTCCGTTGAAATGCCAGGTGACATTCGGTTGGGGCTCGCCCTTCACCTCGCACAGGATGGTGGCCTTGTCGCCCTCCTTAACGGTCATCACGGTGGCATTTTCCGTGAACGTAATTTTCTCTGTGCGTTTCGAAGGAAGGCAAGAAGGAAAACAATGCAATATTAATGATTCACCTTCGACCCACGGCGATTCCAGCACTTACGATATACAATCAAATCGAAGGATTTACTATGCAGACCGCCCTCAGCAGCTTCGCAGGTCCAATTGCCCTTGTCGGCCAGAAGGATGTGGGCGAAAACGATTTTCAATTGTTCTAAACGCGACCAGGTTGGGGTAGCAGCCGGTGGAGCAGGTGGAACATAAACAAGCGGACACGACAATGAGAAAAAAAAGAAATTGAAAATGGGAAATTGAGTTGAGAATACATAGGAAAAGGTTAAACGGGGTACCCCAAACAAAGTACCAGTTTATAAAAAATGCAATGCCGAAGGCAGACTTTACAATACTCTATAATAAATAAATAGTTTGTTTAAATACAAAAATTAAACAATTTTGATCCTGTTCTTTAAGATTATATTTTTGGTAGCTTTATTATTGTACGAATTGTTGATAGTTTTCAAATTAAAACTATATACTCTGTATAATACTTGCTAAATACTATATATTTTTTAATATTTTTATTTTAATATTGACGTTAAAAAGTCACCCTTTCAATTCAAACCATTTTTTTCTGCAGGTATTCGAACACAAAGAATGTGAGTAGAGAATTGCAATTAATTGCGTTTGTTGTGCTTGTGGCGTTGTATACATCCGACTGGCAACCTATGGCCCCTGACCTCGTGCCTTGTGCCCCATGCCCCCTTTGTTCTAACTCCTTTTACGTTGGTTTGTTTTATCTAGCTCATCCCATCCTTTTGCTATCCTTACCTGGCGATGTTTGTTCAATGTGAATGCGTCCTTTGTGCTCGCGTATAATTTCGCCTTTCGGCGATTTCCAATGCAGTCTCGCATCCGGGTTGGGGCTCCGGCACAGGACGATGAGCGATTCATTTGTGTAGCGCACCACGCTGTGCTCCGCCGGGCTCAGGGACAGGCTCTCGTGATGATTGCCCAAGACGGCAGCTGGAATGAAAGAGCAGATGTGCGTTCAGTGGGTTAAAGGTCTCGTTGGGTAATAGCTCGTTAATTGCAGTCACCAAGTGGCTCTGTTTAAAATGCAAACTGAGAAGTTAAGGCCAAGTTTCTATAGCAACTGCACCTTATTTGCATAACAATGCAACTGCTGGGAGGATAATATTTAAATAGAAGCTGAAATGGCAGTTTCCATTATTGTTTTTGTTTGTACATGCCTTTTTAAATAAAAGGCTTTTACCATTTTAGTACTATTCTTAAATTTATTTCCACTTTAAAAATTAGTATTCCTATTTCTTATATCCCTCTGTCAATTAGTCTTTTTATTCATTTCGTATCGATTCATATGCAAAAGTATACGAATTTTTAACCTTACAACGAAGTGCACTTAATGGATGGATATCCTGGCCATAGCTCAGAGTTTCACTTTTCGTTGGCGCTCCTCTGCAAAATGTTCATTGAAATTTATCACAAGAAATTGCAATTTCATTTTGCCAATTCATGTCAATCTTCAGGAAGAAAAAGAAGTTTCAGGCAGGCAGGAAAACCGTTGGCAGGACGAAGGACGTAACGGCAATGTGCATACAGCCCCCAAAACTTCAACGGGAACCGGATACCTCCGCAGCCCTTGGGTATGCTGCCCGGCAATATATATACATACATATATATAGATGCAGAAATTTCTTGCATACTTTTTAATAAAGTTTGTTGCATGCCCCAAAACTGGCAAAAGAAGAAGTAAAAACAAAAACTACGAAACACTAGCCATGGAAAGTGTGGGGCACATGATTGCATCGTTCATTTCGTTGGCAAAACTTTTGCATTGCCTTTTTATGTCTTCGTAAATTTTATTGGCAACGGACATATTGGACATTTTGAAATTATAAATATATCGTAGAGCACAAAAAAGTCCTGCAAATTATGTTATACATGGTATAGCTTCCATAAAACACATACCAGTAAGCCACATCTTTTTTATGTAGTTTGTGACGGATATGAGATGTTGTGTATGGCTTTAAGTTTTTATTACAAATCACTGCTGACAACTGCGGAAGTGGCCAAACAATTGAGACTCTACATTACTTTTTATAAAGCTCTCGGTTTCTTTTTTCCACCATATGGGTTCAGTTATGGGAAACACAAATATTTGCATTGTTTGCCTTCACCTGCTGCCAGCATTGCAGTCGCTGTTGCGTTTATATGTTAAAATGCGAAAGTTGACTGCTTGTCTGAATATGAGAATACCTGAAGATGAGGGGCAAGCACAGTAAAATAAAACCCAACAATACAAAACTTTTAAATTTAAAAAATGTTAAAAAAGAATATGCAAATTATGGCTAAAAAATTAATTTAAAAGGAATACAAATTTCAAACAAATTTTAAAGAAAGATATATTTTGAAACCTCATATTAACCATTCTCTTGGTGTATTGTTCTTGAATCCTTTTTTTTCTCTCTCTGTCGCGTTGGTGATATTTGAGACAGGGACACGGCACAAGAGTCGTCATAAAATTTCATGCACAAGCCAAAGTCACAGGACATGCGATCGTAATGACAGTGTCACACAGAAAAAATAACAAAAAGGATGCTGGGTGACGGGCGAAAAAGGAGAATAAATGTAAAGCTGTGCCAAGTGCAAGGAAAACAAACAGTTAGCGCTGGATCGGAAATGGTATTCCCGGAGCCAGCCACAAGGACGAAATGAAATTATCTGACTGGCTGTTGGCATTGTTCAGCGGCCTTTATAAATGCATTATGCCATGCACTCGTGTGCACTGCAAGTGTAAAGAAAAATGGCATCCGAGAATGCAGTTGGCAAATGGGAAAAGGTTGGCAAAAATGGGTGGCAGAGTGGCGGAGTGTAAGTGTAGCGAGGTGGCACGATGACTGAGCTGTTGAGCGGTAACACGTGCGAGCTGCCAAAAAATGCAACCAAGCATGCAGCTCGTGGGCGACGTCCTGTGAACTGACGTGCCACGCCAACTGGTCCTGTCAGGATAAAAAAAAAAATATCCCATATAAATGCGTGGGATATAAAGTGTTAACCTGTTAATGGAATCCATTACACATCTGCATTTTAACAGATTTCTCCGTGGAGCTTGTTTATGGTTTATTAATCTCAAACTGGACATCCCATGATCAAACTCAACTCAAAATTTGAGACATCCATTAAATCATTAGAAAATTCTTCTTTTGATGTACCCACTTTTCGTTTAAAAACCATAAAGTAAAAAGTTTCCCGAAAACTTTTTCACAATTGGACATTTATGGCTTGTGGCTGGACTACCGCTCCCATTTATTCATTTGTTTTTTTAAATTATTCAATAGGAATTTTAATGAATTCCCTGCGCCATCTTTAAGGCGGGTCTGCAATTCAATTTCCATTAGCTCAACGGAAAACTTTTTAATTATTTTCCAATGCTTAATGGTGGAAGCTGTGGGGGTTCGCAGAAATGGGAAACAGCTTTTTATTTGCTTTGAAATGCTGCAAGTTTCCATTTTTGTGCGACATTTTTGTTTTGCATTTCTCTGGCAAAAAAGTTTGTTATTATTTTTGGATTTTTTTTCTGTAGTCATGTAGTCAGTGCGCACGCATGGTCTCAACTTCAATAAAAAAGTTTTAATTTTGCATTTGTAACAGAGGGTAACAGAGGGTAGTGTGGAAAAAATACATCCAGCGCCAAACTGCAATAACATAAAAAATCCAAGCTTCCATCCAGAGTGAGTGTAAACGCGAGCGAGTGTTTTAATGTCAGCATAAACGCATATATATGAGCCGCACTTAACCTGAATTATAGGCGGCTTGGCCGGAACACGCATCAAAAGCCGGCCCAAAGGAAAATGCGAGCAAATAAAAACGCTCGACTCTCGAGCACGCAAATAATTGCAGCATTTGTGCGAGCTTAACCCATTTCTGTCCGGGTACTTTGCCCCACCAGATACCCATCGAGTCCATAAAGTTTTTCGAAATGCAACAAACTTTTATTTTTTCAAGAGCCAAACCCAGACGATTTTTATTTGCAATTTTAATTTCCACTAAAAATTAATGCTTTAATAAGAACTCTGCCTTTGAGAAAGCTCCTCTAGAATTTCATTCCCGATGGCGGACAAGGCAGCTCTAGAGCACGTAATGCCAAAACATACATAAATCATCAGCGCGTCTCCGCACAGGAATATATTTCCGCTATATAATGGACGCATCCGAATTTCCAGGTACAGAGCCAGCCAGTCGTCTACTTCGTCTTGGCCTGGCCTGGCCGGCAGAAAAACAGGAAGCCAGCTTGGTTCTTTGTGGTTCTGCGAAGTGCAAAAGCGGAAGTGCTGGTACAAGAACCTGCTCTACTTTCGGTTGCTCTTGCAACTCCCACACCTTGAATAGTTAGTTTGTATGGCTTTTTAATAGTTTTCCATCTGACATTACGGCCAGTGGCAAATTTAGTAGTGTTTCAGTTTGGTAATTAATTTTTTTCCTGCTACTAGTAGTAGTAGCCTACTACTACTGCCACCCCAAACCAGTTCATAAATTTTCCATTATGTGAGTGTGCACCGGAAAATACATTTATGCGTTTTTAAATGCCTGGCAGGTTTATAACTCTGCCAGCTCTCCATCGGCAACTCGTTCTGCCCTCGGCTGGCCTTTAAGGAAGCTGCCGCATATAAATTTTGAGGCTGTCGGGGCGATAAGAACCTGCAGCCGAAAGGAACCAGCAACTACTGTCCAGTTCTTGGACCCGTGGACACTCCTGCTCCTGATTCCGCCTTTTCAACTCATTCATCAAGAGTGTGCGCCTTTGACTTTTGAAACAAAAGTTTGACACAACTTTGCTTTCCACTTGGCAGAAGAAACACTCGGCAGGAGCCGGATGACAGCGGAGGGTAACCGGTTTAAACTGACGTCGTTGTTGTTAAACTCTATAAAAGTTAGAGCTACTTAAATATTTGAAACACTCGCAACATTAATCTGCGAACAGTGGATGAGTGTCAGTTGGAGATGGTCTCTATGTCATGAATAACACAAACCTAAATCAGAGAAACAAAAGCTTTTTGTTTTTCCAGGCAGACTGTTTGGTTAAATGAAATCTTTGAATTTTCTGAAGCAAAAACCACAAAATATCATAAAGTTTCATAATTTATGTCATTATTCATGGCCCATATCTAAACATTTATCATGAAAATATTTTCTTTTCTTTTGTCATTTCACTCCACTGTCTGGGCCACCTTTAAAGGAGCGTTTGCCATTTTCACATTTTCGTCCTCGTCAAACTTGAATACATTATATTTTGTCGTCCTTCCTTCAGGAGGACTTAGATCATTTGTTAAGCAAATTTCGCGTAAAGTTGCAACACGACAGACGTCGCATTAATCATGGCCCATCAAATTGCATTAATCGCGGCATCAAGTGTCCGGGCTAATTATCTACGGTGGAAAGAGCACAGGTTGACATCATTGGTGTCACAAAAAACACAAAAAAATATATCCTTATTGGATTGCTTCGCTTAAGAGCGTCTCATGAAGTTGTAATTGAAACTGTTGTGCGCACATTGCGTATACGCAGCGTGTTACGTGCCACAGGAGTCTTGATGCCCCGAGCTGTAAAAATAAAAATCAAATTCCTCTGCCGCTGGGATAAAGTTGCTGCCATGCAATTTTTAGTTAAAACTTTGTCTCATGTCGCTGCTAAAAATTAAAATCCAACTGAGGAGCAGCAACAGTAGCAGCAACAAAGGCAACAACTGTAACCGTAGAGTTTGCGACTGAAGTTGTTGCTTTTTTCAGTCTTTTGCTAACAACTTTTCTGCTTGCACTTTGTCGTAAAAATAAAGTTTTACACACGCGTACGCGAGTTGCTTTTTCTATTGTATTACTTACTTGATGCCATTGTGTATGGAGTAGGAAGGAGTGGCATCGTCTATGTGTGTGCTACGTACATGCCACATTACAGCAGTGGCGTACAACCATGAGGCAGCTATGGCGGCACCGCCTTTACTGTCT